AACTTAAATAAGATGCAACATAAAGCTTGCAAGAGCAAAAACATGTAAAAATATAACAGGAAACCTTATCTGCATGAGTTGCATATTTCTACCACGACAAACGTGATGATCCATCCAATGTCTATTACACGAATTCAACTTGTAAATACTAATAAAAATACATGCATGAGTTGCATACTTCTACCACAACAAACATGATGATCCATCCAATGTCTATTACATGAACGCAACTTTGTAAATACTAATAAAGTGTACTGTTTGAAACCTCGACTATCTGATAAGCAAGGGAGAATAAACTTTAATCCAGATTGACATCACCTTTATCATTAGCAATGTCGAAAAATTTGAAAATTATTAAAGGTGATAAAGCATTTAAGACAGTGTAGATGTTATTTGCAAATGAACCTTAGCATATGAGGCTACAATGACATAATTCTTCCCTCAATTAACATGTGTACCAACAAATGTTCATCGGCTCGGCTAAGAGGGTTGAATAAAATTCCTCATCTAACATGGGCATTCCAAATTTTCCACAAGTCTACGCTTTTACTTTGAAGGATCCAACAAGTGACACTACAATTATGTCAAGCAACAGAAGAATTGATATAACAAGAGCATCACTACAAAATTAATAAGCTCGGGAGATGAGCTGTACTCAACATAGATAAAATAAGCTTGTCAGATTCTCAAAGACAGCTAACTAGTACAAAATCTGAACGGAAGCACATTATAGGTATGAAACAGGTGGAGATAAGGATTTCTGAACCACTGAAAATGGAAAAGAATTACAGAGCTTACGTCAACCAATTCTTTACGAGCGTCCTGCAGTTCATTGTTGCTATTGCACTCCTACACTACCAGAGTTTGATTTAATGCCAATACATCTTCAAGTTCTCCTTCCTTTTCCCTCAATGACTTGAGCAGCAAATCCACTTTCGTCAGCACTTCCAAATCACCTTCATCTTCCATTTGCCTCATAACATTTAATTTGCCTCTCAATTGCTCGATTTCAAGTTCTACTGCTTGTTTGGCATCCAGTTGTTTCTCCAGTTGAACGATTTTCTTGTGGAGGTTCTCCTTTCATTTCTGAAATCATGAATTACACTATAAAATCTCACATATGATGTTTGAAATGGGCATACTGAAATAAACATCATCGCTCGACGTAATGAAGATGAGAACAATTAAATAACTTCTGCTCTTCAGCCAATTTCATAACTTTTTCATCAGCCTTTCTTTGCTCATTAGTAGCAGCCTGAAGTGAGCAATTTTTGAGAGCATTCTGGAAGAACAATGGTAACCGAATCATCTATCTATTTACTAGGTAAGAAGGAAAAACAGGAAAAATAATAATGAACTGTGCATGTAACCATATGATCTCATCAAACAAATCTATTAACTTCAATGGCTATTTTCTACATAGGGCCAAGAATTGTTCAGCGTGGATGGGATGGTAATAGGACTCTCTGTGACAGAATAGTAGGTGCGGATGCTCTGCTTCCTAGTATATATGCCTACAATACTCGGAACTGGGTCTTCATGTCTGGAGGGGTATTTTTCAGAATGTTGGATCGTTAAAAACTTGCAACAAGTGGATTTGGGAAAATAATAATATTTTTCTGATCTTTTTTCTTGAGTTTCTAGGGAGAAATGATATATAATATAATCAAAATGGTTTTGAGAGATCTACTTTTGAGAATAAATTCCAAGAGAATCACTTTGTTGTTCCTGGAGGGATTGTAGAGGTGATATATGTTCTTGTAAGTTCCTATAAACAGGGATCTAGATTTGCTGTTAAAAATACAAAGATCTGGTCACGTGTGAAAGGGAAAAGAAAGAGGGAAAGGTCTGAATGTTAATGCTTTCCCCTTCAAAGTCACTGATGCATTAATGTGGGTAATATACTGTCAAATATACCCAATGATACTCAATAAGACTCGATACCCCTCAATGTGAGAGGTTCCCTGATTATATAAAACCAAAATCACCACTAAATATGATAGCAATCTATTACAATATTAACTAATGATAATCTATAATTTAAATATGGTAAAAATAAGCTATCTTCATATAATATAATTATAATGATAATACAGACGTCAAACTGTAATCTTCCATGATCTCCATAATCTTATTTAACCTCATTAAAATCTCTTCAAATTGATGCTAGTAAAAGCATCAATTTGCAATCATGAACCGACGACAATGACAATACTTATACCCACGAAGAAGTGATCTAAATTACAGCAACCATCTAATGAAAATAATGATGAGAGAGAACAAGAACGACAAATAGTGCAAAAACAGCCAAGAACTACTCCAAAACCACTCCAAGAACACTTCAAAGCCACTTCAGAGAGCTTACAACCCAAGTAGAATTTCTAAAATAAATTCATGGATTGTGCCGACCACACACAGTGAGTTCTATCTGTCGAATTAGTCGAACACATAATTCATGTTCTGACCAAAGCTCTAAAGGCCAATGGACGTACCAAAAATCAAACAATATATCGCTGGCTAAGATGCTGTAGTTGGAAGAAGTCCCACAAAACAGCCTTCACCGAAAACTTAGAAATGATCATCCTCTGAAAATCTAAAACCACCCAAGGATGATCCTCTTCCAAGAATCCAAAACTTTAGCTCATCACCAGAGCAACCAAAACTTAATAATTTGCACTCCTATGTCTCTCTCTCCTTCGCATTCTAATGATCACCAATATTTTACCACTATACTCACGAAGTACCATAGAAAGGGAAAAAAATCAAAGCGCAATCAAGAAAAAAAATGTTAATATCTCTGCCAAAACTTTATCAGCCCACCAAAAAATAATAATAATAAAATAAAAAAAATTCTTCAACCTAAATCAGCCCAGTCAATAGCCCACTAACAATTCCACATAAAACTGACTCAAATCAGCCCACTTATCCAAAAGTCCATTAAAACAATATAAACCAAGACCATTACACACTTTTTTTATAGCCCAATACCAAAAATACACCCCACCTTCGTAAGCTGACCCATTAACCGAGTCCAACCCATTACCTAGTAACCCAGCCTATATCTACCATCTTCATCCTCCAAACTGTATTCTAATCTAACTAGCTGCCAACTGCATCTGCTAACTCACCACTCCGATAACCACTGTATCAAGCACAACAGCCTTCTCAGCCCCACATGCTATCACCAATCCGCCACCACCTTTGCTTTCCCTCGGCCTTTTATTTCCAAACAACCCAAAAGCCTTCTCTACCTCGATTTCCATCGTCCCATACTCCTGCTTCTTGCCAACCCTCACCTCACGATTTTTGCACAATCAACT